GGCCCAGCCGAGAGGCATCTCCGCAGGTTTTCTTCACTGGCAGGCCCTTGGGTTTGGCCCATCCTCCATCCATGTTCCTGTTTCCCTGGGGGCCCTGCTGGATGTGGGCCCCTGACACAGAGCCAGGGAGAACAAGGGAGGCTGTGTGGAGCTGTGGGTCTCCCTCACAGGGAAAAGGGCCTTTGTGTCTGGGGACAAAACATGGCTTGGAACTGGCTCTGAACCCAGCCGTGTGGGAACGTTCACCCCTGAGCGGTATTCCTAGGGGCGTGGAGCTTGTCCCCAGCTGGGTCAGGGGGTGGGAAGGGGAGGAGAGGGCCGTGCATCGGGGTCCAGGATGTCCACTGGGTGCAGGCACTCTTAACTGTGGTGGGGGATGGCATGGCGCAGGGTGACAGAGGGCTCAGAAACGGCTGGACCTGCACTGGGATCCCCGTCTGTCTCTTCCAGCCCAGTGACTGCTGGAGAGTTGCCTAACCTCTCTGAGCCTTGATTCCTTGGCTGTCAAGTGGGCGTGTTGCCCACCTCCAGGCGAGGATGAAGTGGATGATGCATGTCAACACGTCTGTGTAGGCACGCGGTCACCGGCGGTCTGTCAGTGGGTGCCTTGGCTACAGGGGTTCTGGGTGTCACGTCTGGGCACCTTTCAGAGGCAGAAGAGAACCTGTGTGGCTCCACATGAACGAGCACATTTTCCAGAAGCTTCCCCAGCAGAGCTCCCCTTGCATCCCACGGCCTGTCCCTGAAGCAGCCCCCGCAGGGGAATGGGGTCACCATGGGGGCTCAGGTGACCAGGCTCTGTCCCCAGAGCTGGGGTTGGGAGCACCCACAAGGCACTCAGTGGAGTGGTGGCTGCCTGAAGAGAGTTGGGGTCTGTGACAAGGAAGGAGAGGAAACCGTTGATGGCTAGGCAGACGGTCACACACTATGTATTGCTATTCTTCTCGAACCGTCCTTCATGTAGCTGGACGTGCAGCCCTGAGCTCTTGCTCAACAGAGTGGCTAGCCCCTGGAGTCTTCAGGGCAGAAGGGGCTGAAAGAACTGAGGGGCATCAGAGGCGGGGGTGGGGCTGGCCCCAGGGACCTGGGAGCTCAGGCCTGTGGGTTATTATCTGGGGAAGGCAGAGTCACGTGCAGCTAGAGAAGCCCTACCTGCGGGGTGCATCAGTGTGTGCGTGAGCCTGAGGATGCAGCGGCCAACGGCCCCGCTAGACCCACGCCGGGGAGGACCGCGGGCCCGGCTCCAGCTCTTCGCCCGGCACAGCCTCCCGGCTCTGTGCACAGGCCCTGACCGAGCCCTTCCTGCACGCCGGGTCGTGCTCTGGGCTCCGCGGTGGAACATGGCGCTTACATCACCGACCTCGATCGTGTGAGGTGCAGGGGCAGGAGACGGACCTGCAAGAGTTAGTGGAGGCCATGCTGTGAGCATCTCAAGGGGAGGGTTTGGTTGTTCTCAGGCAGCAGGGGTCCCTGATGGTCTCTGAGCAGAAGTCGCCACAAAAAATCTGGCAGTGGTGGGGGGTGGATTAGGAAGGAGTTTCAGAAGCAGTGTGGCTATAACTGTTGTCTCTCTGGGGATGCGTTGGCTTGTAAAGTAACTGGCTTCAACAGTAAAGCAAATTTGTTGGTTTGTTTAACTGGAAAATTCAGAGATAGAGGAACTGAAGGTCTGGCTGAATGGTGGCTCAATGATGTCACCACAGATTCAGTTCTGTCTTCCCTGCTGTCAGCTTCCTCCTCAACGGCCTGCCCCCTTGGGACAACGCCCCCAGAGCCGCTTGTTCCCCTCTCCTTGCACCAGGGGCTTGCTTCCAGGAAGCTCTCTCACAAGATGGGGACATTTCTTTGCCAGAGCCCCCAGAACTCCCTTCTTCTATCTCACTGGGATGTGTGTAGCTGGCCCACCCCTGAGCCCTGGGCTGATCAGGTCAGGTCCAGGCCACATGCCATGGCTGAAATTGGGGTAGCTACCAAGAGAAAGGTGGCTGTAGCCTGGTGTGGGTTGGCCGGGTGAGGGTGAGCGGTGGTTAGGCTGGGTTAGGGTGGTGGAGAGAGAATCAGAGAGGAGAGTGTGGTGCATGGTTTGGGGGTGAGTAGATGAAGGGGAGCAGAGTGGGTGCAGCTAAGGGAGGGGGACAGCTCATCTCATGCTAGGGTTTGGGAGAGAATGGCTGTGGTACCACGAGCAAAAGTGGAAAAGTCTGGAAAAGAACAAGTTTGGGAAAGAAGGTGATGTGTTCAGGTCACCCACGTTGACACTGAGGTGCTTCTGGCCCATCCAGGTGGAGATGCTACCCTGAAACTGGACAGGAGCCTGGCTCGGAGGAGAGGTCAGGGCGAGAGGTATACGGAAGTCCTTGGCATGAGGGGATAGTAGGTGCAATGGCACCGAAGAGGTTGAGAGAGAGAGGGACCAGGGTGGGGCCAGAGGGAACCCCAGCTCTTAGGATACGGGAGGACAGAGCAGAGGGAGTGAAAGTGTCTGTCCCCTCCACTCTGACAAAACCTTGCTGATGCACACACCCAGATCTCAGTGATATTCCCGCTGGCATGCCCAACACCACTTTGCACCTTAAGCCCTGCGTATCAGCCTGCACACGTTCACTGAGCGCCTCTGCGGGGTCCCGGGCTCCGTGAGGCACACGGCTGTGGAGAGCACACCCCACCGTGGCTTTCAGTGTAGGGTACCCTTTGTTCCTTCCTCAGCTGTTTATTGAGCACCTGTATGAACACCTGTACGAACACCTGTCTGCCAGGTGCTGCGTAGCCCATGGGGACTCCATTATGAACGCAGCCTGGAGCCTCTTCTTAGGCTGAGGTCCGTGTCCACCCTCAGATGCGAAGCTCTCCAGCAGTGGAGGCCCGGCTCCCCTGTCCTCGGCACTGGCTCCCGAGCTCCCGGCACAAGCCACAGTACCCACGGAGTGGGCTCTGGATCCACGTCCCTGTTTCCAACGTTTCCATGACATGTGTCCTGGCGAGCTTTCTCCTGAGGCAACAAACCCCTCTGGCCCCTGCCCCTTCATTTCCTAGCACGCTGCATCCTCCTTTACTCGCCGCATCCTGGCCACCTCAGCCCCATCATGTACTCCCATACGTCACCTGTCCACAGGACCCCTTCCCTGCACACACTGAATCACGTCTGCTGAGTGACAGATTGAAATGGAAGGAGAGAAGCAGATCCATCAGCTGATGGCTTTCTCTGCTCTCCAAGTCTTGTGGATTCACCCCCTGTGCCACTCTCTGGGGAGTCAGGCCCTGCCCCGCAGCACAGCCTCTCCTGCAGTCTTGGGCTTCTGTGTTAAGAATCATTATTATTTTTTTTATTGCGGTAACATTGGTTTATATTATATAAATTTCAGGTGTACATCATTATATTTTGATTTCTGTGCAGATTACATCATGTTCACCACCCAAAGACTAATTACAATCCATCACCACACACATGTGCCTAATCACCCCTTTCGCCCTCCTCCCTCCCCCCTTCCCCTCTGGGAGCCACCAATCCAATCTCTGTCTCTATGTGTTTGTTTGTTGTTGTTTTTATCTTCTGCTTATGAGTGAGATCATACGGTATTTGACCTTCTCCCTCTGACTTATTTTGCTTAGCATAATGCGCTAAAGGTCCATCCTTTTTGTCACAAATGGCCAGATTTCATCGTTTCTTAAAAAATCATTATTGGGGCCGGCCCCGTGGCGTAGTGGTTAAGTGCACGCGCTCCGCCAGTTTGGATCCCAGGCGCACACCTACGTGCCACTTGTCAGGCCATGCTGTGGCTGCGTCCCATATAAAGTGGAGGAAGATGGGCCCAGTTGTTAGCCAAGGGCCAGTCTTCCTCAGTAAAAAGAGTATTGGCGTGGATGTTAGCTCAGGGCTGATCTTCCTCACACACACACAAAAAAATCATTATTGAACACTCACTGTAGGCCAGACCCTGTGCTGTGTCATTGACTCTCTGTATCTCATTTAATACCCAGAAATAATCTATGAAGTGGCATTTTAATGCAGAAATCAAGGTTTAGAAAGACCGACTACCTTGCCAGGGTACACACAGCCAGCGAGGGGCAGGATCAGGATTGGACCTGACCTGTCTGCATCAGGACTGCAGCTCGGAACCAGTACCCAGAGCATCTCAAAGTTGGTATCAGGCCTCCTGCTAAGGATGCTTATTAAAAGTTCAGATTCCTGTACCTCATCCTCACAGGCCATTATTCGTCGGCGCTGGTAAATCTGATTTTGGAGAAGCCCCCGCCTGATTCTGATGGACTCTAAAGCCTAGGAACTAAGCCCTGTGTGTCTGCCTCCTGCTTTAAAAAAAATTCTTTTTGGTGAGCTATCTTACACACCAAAGAGCATATAAAACCTACGTGCATAGTTCAAAGAATAATTACAAAATGTGACGACCACCCAAGTTAAGAAAAAGAACACTGCCCGTGCCTTGGCAGTCCCCCGGAGGCCCCCCCAATCCCGCTCCTTTGCCCCCCTCAGAGGTAACAAATCTAAGACAATAGTTAGTGATGATCATCCCCTTGTCTGTCTTTATAACTGTTCCACCCATGTGTTTATCCCTTGACAGTACGAATTTTGCCTGTTTGTGAAGCTCACACAAGTGATTTCTGTTCTGTGAATTCTGGTTTATCTGCTTCTTCTGAATCTGTGTGATTCGTTCGTGTTGATGCCTGCAGTGGTAGATGGTTCATTTGTATTGCGACTATGGCCTCCTTCGTGGAGCCTGTTTCTTACGCTGATTTGTATCCTTTAGAGCACCTAGCACAGGCCTGAAACACAGCCGCTGCTAAGGGAGTATCTGTGACTCCGCGAGGAGCAGTTTGAGAAGTACGTGGAGCCAGCGGGGAGTGCGGCCTGCCAGGACCCGCAGCCTCCACTGTGGCCCTGCCTCCTGGCCTGTGTCCTTCTCAGCCTCTGCCTGTGGCTTCTCTGTCGTGGGCAGTCTGTGTTTCCACCTCCCTGTAAAGTTAATTCCCATTTCTGTGTCCAGTTTCAGGATGCCGAACTGGGGAGGAGGCAAGAAATGTGGGGTGTGCCAGAAGACGGTTTACTTTGCCGAAGAGGTTCAGTGTGAAGGCAGCAGCTTCCACAAGTCCTGCTTCCTGTGCAGTGAGTGTGGCTGGACCGCTGTCGCCGTGGGGACTGGGGCTGGGGGCCCGCCCCTGCAGGCCAGCCTGTCAACACCCCCACCCTCAGGGAACTGGTCCCACGGGATGTAAACAGCTTGACATTTGGCTGAAGCTCAGCCGGAGAGGGAGACACTTAAGGGCCTCTTTGTTCCGCCCAGAAGCTGCTTTCTAAGGGGATGGACTGGCCAGAGCTGGTGGGGGTGGCGGGCACTCGGGCTGAGAGCCAGGCTGTAAAGACTTGGGTAGGAAAACTTTCCACTCCACTTTCTTGTCTTTCTCTCCCTGCCACAATCCCATCATTTAAGACAAAGACACTCTTAGCCCAAAGTTTCACCAGCCCTTGGACCTGAATTGTCCCTGTGACAAGGCAGCAGAGGCTGCAACCTTGTGGGGAAGCTGAGTCTGGAGGAAGGCTCTCCCTTCCTCCCCAGTCCTGGGCTGGCCGCTCACCCTCTCACTTCCCCTTCCTACTCCAGCAGCCTGGATAAGAGGAAAAAGAGTGACAAGCTCTTTGACATCAGCTCCCAATAACCCAGAGCAAGACTTGTCCATCTCAAGCCTGGGTGAGCTGGAAACCAAGCAACAGACACCAAGCAGCCGGGACGTTAGGGGGCCAGGGATCCTGACTCCAGGATGCTGTGCGGGCTGGTGCCTGGGCCCATGATGATTTCAGAGTGCCCAGGAAGTGCTGACTGGGGGAGCCTCCCGCAGGTTCCTAGATGGTTCGGTTCATCGTGATCAGAGCAGAGGGTCTGGGTAGGAGAAGAGGCAACCATAGCAAGACGTGTTTTCCTTGAGGCTGGCAGAGTGGGGGCAGTGGAATGTCTCCGTTAAGCCCCAGGTTTCAGAGCTGGTCAGTGAGGGTCTGAGTCTGAACTCAGTGTTGATTATCTGTGCGATGATGGGCACGTTACTCAGTTTCCCTCTGATCGAGTTTTCTCACGATTCCAGGGGAGACGATAAACTCACCTCAGGGGGTTGTCGTGAGCATTAAAATGAAAGGAGCTTGGAAAACAAAGCCCTTAAAGCAAATTGTGAGTGTTCAGTAAATGAGAGACACTGCCCCAGACACACACGCGCATACACACACACACACACAGACGCACACATATGGTGCTGGGGGATCTGCAAGCAAGATGGGGTCACGCAAAGGAGACCTCACATAGGGCTGAAGTCCTAGCCCATCTGGGCGGTCCGCGGAATGGGGTCCCATCTACCCTGCATCACAGGAAGCGAAGTTGGGAGATCTGTGGTGGATTTGTTCCTGGGTGACTTGTGATCCAGAGCAGTATCCAGATGGGCCAAGGGCCCCCTGCTCATTGGGTGCTCACCAGCTCTCCTCTTGCAGCTGGGCCACCAGCCAGAAGCCACCCCGCACCGGGCAGCAGGGCCTGCACCCTGCCTGGCTGGCCGAGTGACACCCGAGGGCTGCGTCCGTGAATGGGGAGTGAATGAACTCTAGTGGAGCCTCGCTGGCCTCCAGCCTGCAGAGGAGGCCGTGAACAGCAGCATCTTGTTATCTACAGCTCCCTGCACTTAGGAATTCCAAGCTGTTTATTTTTTCAGAGGGAACGAGAGGACTTGGCTCTGGCCAGGAAGAGGGTCTAGGCAGCAATTTGCTCTTGAATGTTGTGTAATCACTGCTAAAGGTGGCCAGCTGTGGCCAAGAGGCTGCCTGCCCACAGCCCTGCTTGTAGAGGAGTGGCTGCCAGTCAGGCAGTGGAGGGAAGTCAGGAATTCAGGGGGTGGCGTTGGGAGAAGGGAGCAGCCTGGGCCAGGGAGTGGGGGGTGCTGAGGATTAGAAACAGTTGTGGGAGGTCAGGCTGGGAGCAGGGCTGGGAGGGGCGCTGTGACACTCACAGCCATAGGGAACAGCCTCACGTCTCTCCGGGCTGTGTGGTCCCTGGGCATGAAGCTCAAAGAGGTCCGGGGCCTCTCCGTACCCTGTCTGTTCCCAGAGCCTGGAGCACAGCAAGCACGTGGCAGGTTGTTGATGAGGATGTTCGTGAATGGAAGGAGGGTCACTTCTCTCTCTCAGTGAAGGGGTGGTAGGTGTGCAGCTTGAATCCAAGACTCAGAATGACCTTCAGAATCAAAGGACTTTCTCCTAAGGAAGAGAGAGGCGGCAGGGTTTGGGCCTGGATTGCATTAAGGGCCATAGTCCTTTGCTGACCAGGCCTGAGCGAGTCCCCAAAAGAAGTTCCTCTGACCATTCAGGTCCTTGGCTCTGGATTTGACTCTGCGTGGCACCTACGTTCCCTTTCCTGAAGACCCAGGACAGACAGGAGGAAGGGAGACAGGATGAGGTAACAGTCAGGGAGAGTGGCCTTTGACCCGGGACGGGGACAGAGAGGGCCCGCAGTATGCCCCGTGGTCTCAGCAGGGCAGCCAGTTCCCATTAGCAGGCAGGAGAGCTCGGCTTTGTGGCTGGGGGCCTACCCCAAGGCTATGAGCCTGGCTCTGAGCTGTAACCACCTCTCTCCTGGGGCAGGTTGGGTGAGCAGCCAGCCCTGGCCCAACCCCTTGAAACTGGGCTGCTCCCCAGAACCCAAGAGCAGAGCAAGCCCTGCTTGCCCTCTGACACTAGCGTCCCCTTACCTGCAGGCTGAGGTTCACTGTCCGTTTCACCCTCCGGGTCCCACACACTTGGCCTCCCCGAAAAGGATGGTGGGCTGGCAGAAAAGAACCTGGTCTGGAAGTCAGGGGCTGGGTCTCCCTGCCCGGCTTCTGGCCAATTCTGTGAGCTTGAACGTCGTGGCTGTGGTTTTCCTTCCAGAAGCAGAGAGAATCCATCTCTGTCTTGGGGTGGGGTGAGGGGGCTCCGACCTTTCACCTGGGGCTGCCTTTCCCAGTATTGTCAAACGGCATCACAGGCCTCACCGAGCCAGGGAGCATCTGGAAGTACATTTGTGCAACAGATGCAATAACTAACCCATGACTAGGTCTTTTTTCCTGGCTTAACACGATTTAGTGACATTTATTTAGGCTTTCATTCAAAATTCCCCTCGTTGAGTCTTGGTGGAGCCTCCAAGGGGCCGCCTGGGTCACCTAGACGGAGGTGGAGGGGCAGAGGCCAGGGTAAGGTGGAAGGTGGGCCACAGTGGGCAGACCGGGCCTGTGGGAGAAGCAAAGCAGAGCAGAGACCAACAGGGAGCTTCCAACGTCGTTCCTGGACATCAGGGCCCTGTCAGCTTGGCGGGGAGCCCCCTGGGGGGTGCGGGCTTGTAGGCCTGGTATCTCCTCAGGCTGGGCTCCTGGGTCTGCTGCTGGAGGTCCGTCAAGAGACCTCTGTTGCCCCCACTGCTCTCGTGTCCACTTTCTGTCCTCCCTGTGGTCTCCGAATTCCCAGTTCAACTTGGGTCTTGCAGGAAGCAATTCCCGGCCAGCTCTCTGCTGCCCACCCTAGAAGGGAATGTCCCAGCCCTTGGCCTATTGCTCTCTCTCCCTCCTTCCCGGGAGCCAAGCCCCAGGGGAGGCCGCACGGAGCTCCATGTTTGGGCTGCCCAGTGCTGGAATGAGGTGGGGATCTTGGGGCAGGACAGGAGGGTCCATATTTAGTCTGAAGTCTTCAACCTGGGGCTCCGGGTGAGAGAGGAGCTGGCCCTTAAAAGGCCAGAGGATGGCCAGTTCAAGGAGCTGAGCTGAGAGCCTTCTTGGAGGGGGAGAGGCGGGCTTCTCCAGCTGTTCCCTGGGTTCCATCTTCAGCGGGACGTGCGGGAGGATATGTCGCATTTGGGCCATGGAGTCCCAGGATTTAAGGAGTATCCTAGAACCAAGTTATTGTTGTAGGACAGGACCTACGGAAACAGGGTGAGGTTGAGTCTCTTGAGAGAAGCAGTTGGGGGTTGGAATCATGTGATCTTTGGAGCCTCCCCCACCGTCTTTCTGTGGTGCTGACTACGCAATGCTAACAAGAGCAGCCAGCACTTATGATGAGCCTGTCGTGTGCCAGGTGTGCGCTCAGAACTTCTCACGTAGCATCTCGGTTCTCACAACCACCTTTTGGGGGAGACATTAGTATCTGCATTGACAGGTGAGGACACAGAGGCTGGAAAGGAGCAATTCCTTGTCCAGGGTCACACAGCAGAAGACGGAGAGAGCCGGGGCCTCACTCTGGGAAGGTGACTCTTCATGACCCCTGGCTCCAGACAGTCCCACTCTGGAGAGCTGGCACAGCTCCCCTCTGACATAGACGGGAGCACAGACGAGGCCACAGGCTTTCCAGCTCATCCCATTCCAGGCTGTCTTACCCAGTTGTCAGGAAGTTCCTCCCAGAGTCTGATCTCGCTTCCTCCTGTGGCAAAGTGATTTCTGAGAGTAGAAATTTTCAATCCTGTTGTTGTGGTTAGCATGACTATATCTCTCTTCAAAGCCCACCATGCTGGGCGCTTCATAATATTAGACTTTTTTCTCTTCTGGGGGCATCACTTCACCTGCATCCCTGCCCCCTGAGCACACACAGATGGTTCCTTCTGGATCCCATTGCTGGAGGCAGGAACACCCCGCCCTTCTTCCTTCCTTTCTTTTTTCTCCTGTTCTGCTGGGACACGTGGTCTCTTTGTCAAGGGCAGAGTCAAAGCTTGGGGTCAGCCTAGGCTGTTGCCTCTGATGAACCCCGGGGGTGCACTGCAGCCAGCGGAGGTACGAGGGTGCGGGGGACTGAGGCTGCCACCAGCGTCTCCGGGGGAGGTGGTTCTACCAGTGTTCCTAGAGCTGGGCCGCACAGGTCCCCTCCCTCTCTCCTCCCAGCTCAGTGGCCATCCTGACCTCCCCTTCCAGGCTGCTCCTGAAAGACCGGGATGGTATACATGCACAGTGCCCCGCGAGCCTCGGCTACAGGGGGCTTGCAGGGAGCCAGCCACCCGCCCAGCACTGAGTCGCCATCCTGACTTCTCTCCTCAGTGGTCTGTAAGAAGAATCTGGACAGCACCACCGTGGCGGTGCACGGTGAGGAGATCTACTGCAAGTCCTGCTACGGCAAGAAGTATGGGCCCAAGGGCTACGGCTACGGGCAGGGCGCCGGCACGCTGAGCACCGACAAGGGGGAGTCCCTGGGCATCAAGCAGGAGGAGTGAGTACACAGCCCCCCGCACCCCCGAGTTCTCTCCTCCCCTCCGACGGTGGACACATTTCCACCACTTTGGGCTGAGCGGAGGAAGGCTCAGAAAACCCTGATTTCAAAGGTGGTCCTAGAGCACCCACTTGGTGTCAGGCCAGCCGAGGAGCTGGGGTCCAGTGGGGACAACACGGGCTCCTCCCTATCTGGAGCGTGCAGCCTAGGGTTTTATCTGTGTCAGAGCTGGGAGGGGCCCTGAGAATTACTGGTCCAACCTCCTCTCTTCATCGATGAGAAAGCCCAGCGCGGGCTCAGTGACTGGCTGGGGCTCCCACAGCCCCAGCGTCTGAGCTGGACCAGAACTCAGAAGCAGCACCACCGCACCAGCTCCCTCTCAGCATCTCTCACCTCTGCTGAGGGGAAGTCGTTCCCCTTGAAAATGCTACAGGGTGTCACCAGGTCCCCAGCACCCACTCTCCTGCTGTAACCAGTGGTGTTGGCGGTCAGCCTGGCCAGCTCCTGGGCCTTGGGGGGTGGACGGAAATGACGATGAGTTACCACATTTCAGCCGAGGGCACTGCCCCGGTAAGAATGACTTGTCAGCAGATTTCTCCCTGGAAAGAATCTGGTAACAGACAGGCTGCAGGAACGGGGGCAAAGGAGGGCTGTCCTTAGCAAAGGAGGTGTTACATGGTTACAGCGTTTTAACTAGGTGCTGAGAGAAGTGTGATGTTTCAATGAAAATAGCACTGGGCTGAGCCTTGGTTTGTCCCTCTGAAGAATGGGAGATGACCCTAGAGGCCCTGGTGGCCCTAGCCTTGTGACTGGCCACGCAGTGCCCACCCCACCTGTGTTTCCCAGTGTAAGTCATTCCGCCTCATGTCCTTCCCCACACAGGGCCCCTGGCCACAGGCCCACCACCAACCCCAACGCCTCCAAGTTTGCCCAGAAGGTTGGCGGTTCTGAGCGCTGCCCCCGATGCACCCAGGCCGTCTATGCTGCAGAGAAGGTGATTGGTGCTGGGAAGGTAAGGCGGCCACTGGGCATAGTGGGGAGAGGGGAGGGAGACAGGCTGGCAGAGACCTTCTTGGAATGGGGGTTCCAGAACGTGGCAGATCTGACCCTCGCTCTGCTCAGGGGAGCCTGAGCCCTGCCGTTAACTCCCTCCCTTCATTTCAGAAGCCTGCCAGGAAGGAGGAACCCTTTGTCCCTGAGCCTCCCAGTCTCCAAGGCGCCCAAATCGCTCATGAGCATGACAGCCCCAGCATTGATGGAACTGATGATTAAATGCCCATGGGCAATTCATAGGGAGTTGCAAAGATCAATCTGTGTCTAGAATTGGGGGCTACAGACCTCTAAGGGTGCCTGAACAGATTTCAGAGGGCCCACAAGCCCCCTAAAATTATATGCAGCTTTGTGGGAACATGTCTTTTTCTGGGAAGAGGGTCCATAACTTTCATCAGATTTTCAAAAGGATTTTTGATCCCCCAAATGTTACTAAGCCCCCAAAATTCCACATACATTCTGTTGCATAGGATGTGCACTCCTGGAAACCTATTCACATCCCCCAGGGCAGAGACTTCCAAGGCTTGGGGCCTATTGGAGCCTCCTGGGGGGCTCATGCAACTATTTCTAACCGCCATGCATGTGGCCCCCGACTCACCAAAGGGCTGTAAGAGTCAGTGTGGCGAGCCCCTGTCCCACAGGAGGATCACAGCCGCAGGAAGGCTGCGGTGGAGGAGGCCCAGGGATCTGCAGTCTCGGACTAGTTCAGAGTCACAGAAAAGGCATCTTCATGATATATGGCCAGAGAGGGTTCTGGATCTTCACAGGAGGCCCAGGGTAGAGGGGGGACTTGGCCAAGCTCACACAGCAAGCTGATGAGACAGCTGGGCCTGGAACCCGCCTCAGCTGGGCTCAGCTTTCAAGACGCAAGCTGAGACCTTCCGTCTCAGCTTAAGGCGTTTGGACCTTGAGGGGCGGCCCTGGGGGTTGCCTGGGGAGCTAACTGGTGGCCATGTCTGGACCAGAGCAGGCTCTTTGTTCAACCTTCACAGTCAGGGTGGGGATCGGTGCTGTGGCCCCATCTTACAGATGAAGAAGCCGAGAGCCAGAGCGCTACACAGTCTGCCCGGATCTTCCAGCGAGGAAGTGGCCGGCGAGGAGTCGGCCCAGGCCCGCCTGACTCCAAAGCGCTGGTTCTTCCTGCAGTTAGCTGTACTTGGGGCCGTTAAGCCTCTTTGAACCCACTTCCACAGCTGACCACAGTCCTCACATGATGATTTAGACCTGGGACCCTAGACAACCTGGTTTGAAGCCTAGTTTTGCCGTTTACTAGTTGTGCGACCTTGGGCAATTCACTTAACGTTCCGAAGCCTCAGGTCTGCATCTGTAAATGCAGGGAGCATTGGGGATCCCTGAGGAGCAAGGTTGAATTGAAGATTGACTGCGAGAATGCACACGGAGCCCCGCGCGCTGCCCGCTGTGTGCTTAGCAGAGGCCAGCCGCTGTTGCCATTGCTGTTGTTATTGTTTACTTTGTGGGATTGTTGTGAGGCCAGAATGAAGACCCTTGCCATTGATGAAATGATATGAAAACAGCGATATTATTAATATCAAGTTGATGTTTTTCCTTCTGTGTCTCCCTGTGAGAATAGAAAATTATAAAAAATCACTAAGTTGGGCCGGCCCAGTGGCTTAGCGGTTAAGTGCGTGCGCTCCGCTGCTGGCGGCCCGGGTTCGGATCCCGGGTGTGCGCCGACGCACCGCTTCTCCGGCCATGCTGGGGCCGAGTCCCACATGCAGCAGCTAGAAGGATGTGCAGCTATGACATACAGCTATCTACTGGGGCTTTGGGGGGAAAATAAATAAATAAAATCTTAAAAAAAAAAAAATAAATAAAAATAAAAATAAAAAATCACTAAGAATCAATATTTCCGTTCCCTAGACAGGGTCTGAGTTAGAGTTAAGGCTGTGCTACTGAGGAGTTGGGGTGAGAGGATTTTGCCTGCAAGCAGGAAATGTTGGGAGAAGCTCTCGCCTCTCTGTGACCTTGGCCAAGAAAGAAATCTGGAGGAGCAGGCGGATGTTTAGGTGCTGTGTGAAGGAGTAGAGGATGGAGCCTATTTGCAGGAAGGGCTAGGCAATGGGCGGGTGGGGGGTCTACATGTGATTCAGCCCTTCTCCAGCCTGGAGAGCTCAGGGTGGCTGCCCCTGCTTTACAGAGGAGGAAGCCAAGGCTGGGTGATGGCTGAGGGCCACAGGCCGCTGGGAGGAGGACCGAGGTCTGGGACCCCCATCTCAGCTCTCTGGACCCCACCGTCCCTCCAGCACCATCCCTCAAGCACAGGAGGAGGAGCCACGTGCAGGGTCTGGCGGCCAGGAAATCTGAGGGATCTGGTTTCCTTTCATTCTCCAGCCCGGCACTGGGCGGCTGTGCCGAGGGAGTCTCTTTGCCCTTAAAAGGCCTTGTTTTGTCCTGCCCGAATCCGCCTGCCTCCTGCCTTCCCGCAGAGCTGTCTACATGTCAGCCCTGTAGCCTGCTCAGCTGCTGCTGGTGAAGGCCGGCTCGCTGTCTGTGCCGGCTCCCATCACCGCGTGCAGACCTGGGCCGGCTCTTCCCTGGCAGGCTGTTAGCCTCCAGGCTCCGCTTAGAACCACGAAGGGCCTTCTGTGGCCCCTGGAGAAACTACGGTCCTGGGGCCTCTTCCTGCCGAGTTCAATGCACTTCATACACCCGTTCTCCTTCTAAAGTGGTAGTAGACCCTGTTGACTCAGGGCCTCCGCTCTGCCCACCCTGTGCCAGGCATGTGACACTGCTGAAGTCACTGCATCCTCACAGCTACCTCGTGAGGGTGATACCGCCACCCCACTCTTCAAGAGGTGATGGCTTCTGGGCAAGCAAGGCACCCAGTTCTGGAACTTCGGAGGTGGGGCTGGTGCGGAAGAATCCCAATTACAAAGGGCACCATCCGGTTATATCCAGTTCTCACGTCCATCTGCAGGGTAGGCAGTGAGGTCTCCCAGATGAAGAAGTGGCTGAGGCTGTGCGGCTGGGCAGTGGCAGTGCCAGGACGAGTCTGAAGCCCACAGCGCTGATCCCCAGGCAGGACGGGTCTGGAGAAGCCTTGTCTGGCCCTGCCTGTCGGGGAGCCTTGGTGGTGACCCCTGCCTCGCCTGCCCTTTGTGGTGCAGCTGGTGCCACTCACCATCCAGCCATTGCAACATGTCCTTGAAGATGGTGTGAGGCGGCATGTGGTCCCTGGCCTGCTCCCTCCACTGCCTGGCCCTCGGCAGATTGCAGAAGTGTTGAGCCCATCCATGTGGTCCTGTCAAGGGGCTGGGGCTGGGACTGGGTGCAGGGACACCCGAGTCTCTGGTGGCAGCATTAACTGTTTCCTTCCCTCCCCAGTCTTGGCATAAGTCCTGCTTCCGCTGTGCCAAGTGCGGCAAAGGCCTGGAGTCAACCACCCTGGCTGACAAGGATGGCGAGATTTACTGCAAAGGTGGGTGGCTTCCCTTCGAATGTGAGGGTCAGGGGTTCCGGTGGGGAGGGGGGTTAGTAGTTATGCCCTTGCTAAATGTAAGCCGATTCCTGGCCTTGGGGTCAATTCCAGAGCATCTAATACGACCCCTTCATTTTACACGAGCCCAGAGGGAGAAGCCACTTGGCCAGAGTCATAGGGCAAATCTGGGCAGGATGGGTCAGACCGGGCTCCTATCTCCTAGTCCGGTGCTTTCACAGCAGATAATGCTGCTCCTGACATCTCAGTGGCAGGGGGAGTGGGTACACTGTGGAGCCAAGGACCTCCTCACTGTTGGGTTGGGGTGGTGTGGAGGTGAGGAGTGCTAGTGGACTTTGCTGCCCCAGAGGCCCGGCCAGGCTCAGAGGATGGAGTATCTTCAGTGGGAGGTCAGGAGGTGTGGCTTTGGGGAGGAGCCATGGTCCTCACCCCTCTCTTCTCCCCGCAGGATGCTATGCTAAAAACTTCGGACCCAAGGGCTTCGGCTTTGGGCAAGGAGCTGGGGCGCTGGTCCACTCGGAGTGAGGCCATGCCACCCGCCGCCCCCAGCTCACTCCCTTGCTTCTCATTGCCCTTCCCTTCCCGCAGCCTCAGCCACCTGCAGGATTCCCTCTTCCTCAGTCCTGCCACACATCACTAATGACGAACTTGGGCATCTGGCTCCCTTTAGTTTGGGGGTGGTCTGCCTAAGGTCCCACCTCCCTAAGGAGCTCCCCCTGCTTGGGAGCTGATGCCACTGCCAGCAGGAGACCTCAGGGTTGTTAGTCTAGGTAGGACCGTGCCCCTGTCCCCACCCCCCGCCCCACAGACCTCTGTTCTTGGCCTCTTAGGCTGAGTGTCCACCATCAACTGGCCACACCCTGAGCCACGTCTTGGAGCCCAGAGGAGGGGCAGCAGCAGGCCTGGTGGGGAGGGGAGCAGGACTGAGGTGGGGCGAGGGAAGGCTGTGGTTCACTGGATCCCGGAGATTCTCCTCCTTGTGTAGGAGGTGGGCTTCTTGGTGTCCCTCAGAACAGGGGGAGAGCAGCCCTAGCTCTGGGAGTTCCTGTGAGGCTGCAGAGAGGCACCTGCTTCTCTAGGCCTCTTGTCTTTGAGGCTGTGGGGAACTGGTGTCCTCCCCCTCAGGGTGGGAGGGGAACCCCTGGCTCTGAGAACCCCAAAGTCAGGATGTGGTCTGACCTCTCAGGGCACCTAGTTCCCTGTTGGATGGAGGCCCTAGTGGAACACCTCCAGTTCACACTCCCGTTTATCAGTGGCCCCATCTGAGAGCAGATGGCCTGCCTCTAACTCTGGGTCCCTAGATTGGGGTGGCAGCTCCTCCCCACCCAGCACAGCCCAGGCCAGTGCTCTGTTCTTACCACGCCCACTCGACCTGCAGATGTGGAGGGAGGCGCGTGCAGCCTCGTCTTCACCCCGACACCCCTTCCCTCTGTGCCCTGTCCTCAGGAACTTTCTGCCCACTGGGGCCTTGCCCTTCTACCCACCCTTCTCCAGGGACCCTTCTCTGGCCACATCACCCCCATCCCTTCCAGCACCCCCCCCCCCCCCCCCCCGCCAGGAGCAGTGGGAGGGAGGGGGAGGGGCCAGGCTTCGCTGCTCCCAGTGACTGACAGGAGGACACTACAGAGCTGAGCTGTCGGCTGGAAGGGCTGCAGGCACGCAGGCACGGCTGTGTTCAAGCTGACTTCTCATCTGGGCAATAAAGCTGTTACAACACAACTTGGTGTCTGGTCCTGGTCTGTGGGGGCCCTGCCACTGCCCTGGGCTGCGGGGGACCTTGATGGGAGCAGTCAAGTCAGTAGGAGTTCTCATGGGAATAAAAGCCTTGTTCCCCTTTTTCTAAGGGCTGCTTACTTCCCAGTATCGCTAGCTGAACCGCACCGCCTGGACTGACCTGCCCAACCAGATCGCATTGCCTTGCCCTGTCTGGGGGTGCGGGGGATGGACTCTGTGGGCTATGGAACTTGGGGGTCTCAGCAAGACCCCAAAGCTGTGCTCAGAACTTTTCCCAGCTTGGAAAACCCCAGAGTGAGGGAAACAGCCAGAGGAACCTCCGTGTCAAATCCAGAAGGCTCTCATCTGCCCAAGAGGATGGAGTGGAGGGGCCTTGCTTAGCCCCCTGCACCGTTAGAGCCCCGTCTCAGTCTGTTCTGGCTGCTGTAACAGATTACCATAGGCTGCAGGGCTTATAAACAACAGGAATTTATTTCTCCGGTTCTGGAGGCTGGAAGGCCAAGGTTAAGGCACCAGCAGATTTGGTGTCTGGTGAGGGCCGCTTCTTGGTGCATAGAAGGCCGTCTTCTCGCTGTGTCCTCGTATGGCAGAAGGGACAAGGGAGCTGCCTGGAGTCTCTTTTACAAAGGCACTAATCTCAGTCACGAGGGCCCCACCTTCATGGCCCAATCACCTCCCAAAGGCCCCACCTCCTGACACCATCACACTGGGGATTAAGTTTCAACAGATGAATTTTGGGGGGACACAGACATTCATTGGACATCTATAGCATTTTGCCCCTGGCCCCCCAAATTCATGTCCTTTTCCCATGCAAAATACATTCATTCCATCCTGATGGCCCCCAAAAGTCTTATTAACTTCCAGCATCCACTTTGAAGTCTGAGTCTCTTCTCAGTGTCATCTACCTCAGATGTGGGGGAGACTCAAGGAAGGCTTTCTCCTGAGCCAAAGTCCTCTCCAGCTGAGAACCTGTGAAAACACATGCGATGAGTTTCCAAAATACAACATGGGACACGCGTAGGATAGATATTCCCATTCTGAAAGGGAGAAATAGGAAAGAAGGAACGAGTAACAGGTCCCAAGGAAGTCCCAAACCTAATGGGACAAATTCCATTAGACCTTAACGTGTGAGAATAATCCTCTGTATTCCGGACCTGCTGGGGTGGCAATGTTTCCCCACCCCTGTGGTGGCTCCTGGCAGTGCCATTCTTTGAAACCTAGGTGGAGGAAGCCATGACCCCTGAGCCCTTGCACTCTGGGCCTGTGATGGGAGTGGCAGCCCTGATGATTTCTGAATCACCTTCTAGGTCATTCTCCCATTGTCTTGAGGGATAGTCCTAGGCTTTGGTTGAGATGGCTGACCCACACTAATCTCCTCATTAGAAGGTCGCTCGGCCATACCCTTCATGTTCTCACTTTTCTGCAATATGAATAGGCTGAGAATTTTCCAAATCTTTTAAGTTCTGCTTCCTTTTTGCTTAACAATTCCATCTTCAAGTCATTTCTTCCTTCCCGCACTTTACTATAAGCTGTCAGGAGGGGCCAAGCTGCACCTCCCACACTTTGCTTAGAGATCTCCTCAGCTGAACGTCCAGTTTCATGGTTCACATGGTTCACCTTCCACAAAACACAACCAAGCCAAGTTCTCTGCTATTTGATAACAAGGATCACCTTCTGTCCGGTTTCCAATAACATGTTCCCCATTTCTGTCAGCAGAACGGCCTTTACTCAGTGTATTGCTACCAACTTTCTGCTCCAGTTTGCTCGGGTACTCTCTGGGACCACTGAAGCTTTCTCTCCAGCTCTCCTCTCTTCTTTCTGAGCCCTCACCAGAACCCCCTTGAAAGGGCCATTCACAGCAATGAGGCTTTTTCAAGCAGACATTTTGAAACCCCGCCAGTCTCCACCCATTACCCAGTTCCAAAGCCACTTCCACATTTTTAGGTGTTTGTTCCAGCAGCACCTCCACTTCTCAGTACCAATTTTTGTCTTAGTCAGTTTGGGCTGCTATAACAAAATACCATGAACTTAGCAGCCTATAAACCACAGAAATTTATTTCTCACCATTCTGGAGGCTGGATGTCCAACATCAAGGTGCTGGCAGATTCAGTGTCTGGAGAGAGCCCACTTCCTGGTTCTCAGATGGCCGTCTTCTTGCCGTCCTCACATGGCGGAAGGGGCGAGGGAGCTCTCTGGCGTCTCTTTTATAAGGGCACTAATCCCATTCATGAGGGCTCTGCCTTCATGATGTAATCAGGTACCAGAGACCCCCACCTCCTAATCCCATCAACTTGGGGGTTAGGATTTCAACGTATGAATTTGAGGGGACACAAACATTTAGTCCTACGGCAGGCCCCCACAGCCAAGTCCATGGACGCTGCTGAGCTTTTTGTAAATGAGTTCATCTGAGGGTGCTGTGTCCTTCATCTTAGGGACACGGGTGTGATGTTTTGGGGCTGGGCTTCTCTGCCTACACTGTGAATTTACAAAACAGTAAGCAGATGCTTTAACAACAAGCCTCGTGTGTATAAGGTCTGGATGCCCAGTTCAGCAGTGGCCTGAGAGACCCCCCTCCTCTACTCTGGGAATGGGACCTAAACACATATAAGACCAATCAATGGTGCAGAGCAATGAATAGGTAAGTGCAAGGTAACAGGTCAAAGAGCTGCAGTAGTTCAGAGGAGAATGCTGCCCACCAGGGTGGGCTCCGGCTGTGAGTTCCCGGGGTGGGGGTGGGGGGGCAAGGTCTCCCTCATCTTGGTAACTTCTCTAGGTCTTTCCCAGGATGTGGCCAACCGGAAGTTCTCCGGGAAGGGTTTGCACACCCATGAGGATGGATGGATGGACGGATGGACCGATGGACGGACAGATGGATGGATGGATGGATGCCTGGATGGACGGACGGACGGGCGGGCGGGTGCCTGGATGGCTCCACTAACAGCTGGGTCATCCTCCTGCTCTGGGAGGGGCTCACAGGAAGGGCCAGGATGGGAGCCTTCTGGGCGCAACATTGGAGACAGGCTGCCCTCTGCTGGCTGCTCGGCGGGGCTCTGGCACCCAGCATAAGTCCATCCGCCCAGCCTCTCCGACACTAGCTATGAAGCTCCAGACCACCCATCTTCCAGAGCAGCCCCATGGGAGGAGGGGTTCGACGCACTTCCTGGGAGTGAAACCGGCTAAAGGCAGAGGGCGGTAGCCAGAGGCGGCTAGTCGGGAAGCACCCGCTTGGCGGTGTAGGGCTGGGAGGAGCCGGAGGGCTCGGAGAGAAGGGAGGGGCACCCGCGGGCGGTGGTGTCTCCGGGGAAGGAAGAGACTTCCTGCCCGCCCGGCGCGCGTGCGCCGCACCAGGAAACAGCAGGTGGCGCTGTGGGGTCAGGGCACAGGCAAGTGCCCCTTTCCGCGCTTCGCATGCCCTCCTCCGATACCCCATAGCCTCCTCTCGTACCCCGCCCCCTCCTCCCGAACCCCACAGCCTCCTCCCGAACCCCACACCCTCCTCCCCTACCCCACAACCTCCTCACCCAATGGGCTCTTGAGGACCCTTATTTACTGCTCCCCCGATAATAGCTTCTCCCTTGGAGGACTTGCGGCTAATAGGGGCCTGTGGTGTAGCAAACCGTGGAATTGATCCAGAGGAAGCGGGGAGCAAGAGTTTTTGTGTCATTCACGTACTTCTTTTCTCATTTCCCTTGTCTCTGAGCCGAGTGTCCAGGGCCCCTCAGAAGACCCCACGCGCCGGGAGCCAGGCTCCACTGTGGGAGTCGCAGGCTCCGGACAATTGGGGTGTGAGGCTAAGGGCTGTCCTGGTGACAGGAGGCAGGCCCATCCCCCAATTCAGGGAGATTCCCTCCTCCAAGGGCCTTGGCAACCTATTTGGCTCGTCGGGGAGGCAGAGGATGGAGAGAGACCAGAAGGAACCAGACTGGAGGGTGAGGAGGGAGATGAGGGAACGTAGGGGTCCCTGAACAGGGCACAGAAATCCCTTGGGAGGGGCAGAAACCAGTGAGGTCAGGTCCCCCGACCTAGACCGGGTGGTGGTGGCGAGTGGAGCAGGGTGAAGAACCCTCAGATCAATTGGCTGTGCCTCCACCCCGCACCCCCATTATGAGAATCACTGGGGAGCCTTTTAAAATGGCTCCTCAGCCCCACCCCCAAACATTCTGATTAAGTGGGCCTGGGTGGGGCCTGGGAATCCCTATCTGAAAAGCCCCTCTGGTGATTCTGATGCTCAAGCTCATCCAGGCATGAGGACCTCGGGACCAGTCCAGCTCCCCAGCCTATG